AGTCTCCCGTCTTCTACTAGACTTCCTCCTAGCTTACTGAGTCCACCGCATTGCCAGTCGCAACCACAGTTACAGCCAGACTCTCCGCTGCCTGCTCCTTCTCCTTACGCTGAGCAGACAGACTCTTTTACAGAGCGACGTGAGCCTGAGTCTCGTCTTGCCTCGCGTGTTTGCACTGTTTGCACTGGTCGTCGGGTTCCTCGTCCGCGTCCTCCTCCTGTTCCTGGCACTCACGTGATGGCACTTCGTCCTTCCTCTATTCCACTGCGAGTTCCTCTTCCGCCTCCTCCTGAGTCCTCTCTTCCTGCCGTTCCTGACCCTGAGTTTGACCTAGTTCGTGCAGCCAGTCCTGCTGTCTCTCGCCACTCCTGTCAGTGACCCTTCTTTTGAGTCCACTGTTGCGTCTGGCCTAGTTGCTGAGCTTGTTAACTTTGCTGCTGTCTATCGTCTCGACTACGCCACTAGTCTTGTTGCTGAGTCTGAGTCTGACTGTCCTCCGTCTATCAGGGGTTAGTGTTCTCTTGGCACGGACATCCTTGAGGACAGGCAGGAGGACTTTGAGTGCCTTGCAGCTGCTGTACCTCATCTCGTGGCCATGGTGCTTGCACCTGAGGGAGACCCGGATGCACCAGACATCCCGACCCCGCGATCTTACACAGAGGCGATTACAGGTCCCTACTCCTCTCTGTGGCAGACAGCCATGGACGCAGAGATGGCATCCTGGAAGTCCACAGGCACCTACGTCAACGCAGTTCCCCCTTTTGGGGCAAACATAGTTGATGGCATGTGGATTTTCAGGGTGAAGCGGCCGCCGGGTTCTCCGCCTGTCTTCAAGGCTCGTTACGTTGCACGAGACTTCAGTCAGCGATAGGGAGTTGACTTCTTCCATACCTTCTCCCCTACCCCGAAGATGACCACTCTTTGAGTGTTGCTGCACCTCGCAGCTCAGCATGACTACGAGCTGAATTCTCTTGATTCAACACAGCTTTCTTGCAGGGCAGCCTGCACAAGGAGATTTGGCTGCGCCGCCCACCTGGCTTCAATGGGTCGTTTCCTGCAGGTACCCAGTGGAGCCTCCATCGGCCAGTCTACGGTCTCCGTCAGGCGCCTCGCGAGTGGCACGACACACTGAGGACGACACTTGCGGCTCTTGGGTTTGCTCCTTCGACTGCTGACCCGTCGCTCTTTCTACGCACCGACACTTCTCTGCCGCTGTTCTACGTCCTCGTGTACGTCGACGACTTGGTCTTTGCCACTGCTGACACTGAGGCACTGGCCCTTGTGAAGTCGGAGCTGCAGAAGAGACACACCTGCACTGACCTGGGTGAGCTGCGCAGTTGTCTTGGCTTGCAGATCACCCGGGACAGAGCACGGCGCACCATCACCCTGACTCAGTCATGGCGCACCAGGTCCTTCAGCGCTTCGGCTTCCGGTACTCCTCATCACAGTCCACTCCTCTGCCTACTGGTCACTCGCTCTCAGCTCCACTTTCGGACAAGTCCGTAGAGCCGAGTGGCCTGTATCCAGAGCTTGTGGGCTACCTCATGTACCTGATGACCTGCACTCGACCTGACCTTGCATACCCTCTTAGCATCCTGGCATGCTACGTTGCGCCGGGGAGACACCGACCAGAGCACTGGGAGGCCGCTAAGAGGGTGTTGCGCTACTTGTGCAGTACTTCGGGCATGGGGCTCGTGCTTGGAGGACGGGGTCCAGTTGTCCTCACTGGACACACAGACGCTTCTTGGGTTGACGACTTGGCTACGCAGCGGTCGTCACAGGGTTACACCTTCAGCCTTGGCTCCGACTATGTTTCTTGGCGGTCTACCCGCTCGTCTTCTGTTCTCAGTTCCAGTTGTGAGGCTGAGATCTACGCAGGGGCCATGGCTGCAGAGGAGTTACGCTGGCTCACCTACCTGCTGACCGACTTGGGAGAGCGGCCACGTTCTGCTGCAGTTCTGTACGTAGACAACAAGGCCATGATTGCCTTGTGTCAGGAGCACAGACTGGAGCAAAAAACAAAGCGCATCGCTCTGCGTTACTTCCTTGCTCGAGAGTTGCAATAGCGTGGTCAGCTTCATCTTGCTTACGTGGCCATTCGGGCCAACGCTACTGATATATTCACCAGGGCACTTCAGTCTGGTGATCATTAGCGTTTCTGTACTATTTTAGGCCTTGTGCCTACTTTCCCTCACTTACTCACTGCATAACTTTGCTTGTACTGTGTTCTATATATATGCCTGCATGCTTACACTTGCTAGGGTATGATCACTGTACTGTTTGTTCTGTTTTATATAACTCTGCATGTGAACTAGCCTTATGGTCATTTGCTTGTGCTCGGAATGCGTGGTGACTTCGTGATCCACCCTGAGCTTGCTTTGCTTCTCTTGACTGGTCTTGTGACCACTTCTTCTCCCCCACTTTGCCTATGGGGGTGTGTCAAACTTATAGAGTGCTTACATTGTGTAGGCTGTAGTGGGGTAACCCATAAGGGGTACAACCCAACAAGGGTTAGTACTTGTACCCAACTTTCTGTTCAATCCATCATTCTCGTTCTAGATTCTAACAGAAGAACCTCTGGGAGCAGTTTGGGACCAAGCTATAGTTCAGTTCATCGTACCACCCCGAGACCGACGGTCAAACAGAGCGGACCAATCAGACGATGGAGTGAACCCAACAGTGCCCATGACGATGTAGGCAAAACCCAACAGTGCCCATGACGCCGAGTCCGGACAACCCAACGCCACGCGCACAGCAATTCGCCGAGATTCTGCAAGCTGCCCGCACCAGAGCCGCCGAAGCAATAAAAAAAAACCAACGTCATCGCTACATGCAACGCTGACCGCCACCGCCGCCCAGTTACGTACCAGTCAGGAGATTACGTACTGCTCGACACACATAACTTAAGACTGCCCGTCATACCGTAATTACGACCGCGCTACTGTGGACCATTTCAAATCAGCCACATGATCACTCCAGTTACCGCCCACTCACTGTTGCCGACAGACTGGTACATCAGCCCGTCATTCCACGTCAGCCTGCTTTGCCCCTACATCCCAAGCACGAGCCAACTGCCTCGTCACCGCCTGCCATCCATGACTCGCCCTGCATCGGAGCCGATCATCGAGTCCGAAAAAAATATGAGCCATCGGATTCGCCACCCCACATGCATCAAGAGGATCGAGTTCCTCGTTCGCTGGAACGACCGCACGCCAACTGAAGATACCTGGGTGCCCCTGGCCAACATCAAACAAATTTTATTCGTTTTCGGGTAATGAGGTGGGCACCCAGAGACTTCGAGGTTATTATTTTACAGCGGGATGCCTTTCCGTCTGAAGAAACGCACACTTAGTGGTCCGAGATAGGGGGCATATCGGTATTGGCAGAGTTATAACTGCCGTGATCTCGCGACGGGAATGCTAGATTCTACCCTCATTAATTTTCAAACTACTCGTTTAAACAAGTTGACCAAGGAGAAGTACCCTCGCGTGGTTAAGATAGCGGCGGTTAAAATACCGCGGACTAGGTGTAGCTCGAGATGTGAAAGCTGGATGGACGATTCTCACCGCCCTTATGTCAGCATCGATAAGCCACCGCAATTGGTTGAGAATTTTGTCCACAAAACTCACGCGCAAGATATTCTTCCATCGATTGACAGAATCCACACGTCACAGTAGGTCCACAGCTGTGGTCCTTGTTCATGGATTCAGCCACCTCAGACATTGTGGCTTTTTCCATATTCTGTTCATCATCATGATTGGACAATGCCATATCCAATTGGTCACTGTAGTGAAAAGCGATCTGTCACCTGGAGCCACAGAACTTAGAGGGTGCTGCAACTTGTGGCTGGGTTTGTCCCACTTGTGCTTTTGGTCGGAGAATGTGTCCAGCAGCAAGGTCCCCCATAAAAACCAGAAATTGTAGAACCACCCACGGGACAAACTTCGAAGAAATCCGCAGTTGCGCTGAAGTCACTCCACGCACAGGTGTACAAAGTTAATTCCACAACTCGAGCTGACACTTTGCAACAACAAGGGTCATCGTTGGTGTTTGAGCTAATCGGGTTGAACAGTTGGGGTAGAAGTTGGAGTTGGTACAGAAACACAGTACTTACGGGGTGAGCAGGGGCAACGGGGTGGATTGGCTAGCGAGCGAACTCCTTACATGTACTTTTGTCAGGAAATTCCCAACTTCGTCGACTCAGCAGCCGTACGTACAGTAAATTCCATCCAAAATGCGACGACATAACGCAGACGACATTCGACAAAATATTCGTTGTCGCCAACGAGCAGGCCCTCGCTCGCACATATGGAGTTCCATAGGTGTTTGGTTGGTTGATCAACAGATGGTGAGGTGATGTGATTCTCATCTCTAAGTCCAAAGCGAAATGTGGCTTGCGCGTTCCCCTCCATGAAGGTTCATCAAGGTTCTCAGTTGAGCACTTTTTTACTAGCAGTTCGCTAAACTGTTAGTGATTCATTCTCTTGGATAATCCAGCAATTGGAATCGTTTCGTTGCTTGGAGAGAGGATACGTAGGTAACGAAAGCAGCTCAATTTATAGGAGATTTTGTTACCTCTTTGTGCCATATTGTCGTCTCCGTGCAAATTTTCAAGCGAATTTGGGGAGATAAAGATGAGGCTATTTGGTCGAAACACTACAGCATCATTGTCCGCGGAAGCAGCAACATCAGCAGCAACAGATACTGCTGGGACCGCTAATAACCCAACACCCCTTCCGCTCCTGATAGTACCTCCTGCGTCGCCGTACAATGGCAGTCAAGCGAGCCAAAGCAGGTCAAGCGCTTGGGGTGGTAGCGGTACTGGCACGAATGGAACCACAAGCGCCAGTAGCGACGGATGCGGGACGGACGGCACGGATGGAACGGACGGTCTGGATGACTCGTCGGACGAAGCCAACGGTGGAGAACCTCCTTCTTTCCTTTGCTTTGGGGGGAACCGTGGAATGTGGAACGTGGCAGATCGTGATTGGATGAGCCCCATGATGGGATACTTGCGAAGCCGATGGAGTGGAAAAGGGGAAAAGGCCTCCGGGAATGAGGGAGAATTGGCTCGAAAAAACGGAAGCGCGACTGTAGTTGTAGACATTCTCTCCCCTTCCGCCGACGGCGGAAGCCCCAGGTCTGTCGGAAGCGGCAGAAAGAGCCTGCTTGCGCCCGCCGCGGGGATAGGCGGAGCGGAAACCGAGCCGCTGATTCCCTGGCGGAGGCGCTACCGGCGGAACAACCGTTACATCCGCCACCGGCGCGGGGAAGGCCCGGATGGATCCACGTGGCAGTACGTGGGCGACGTGCTTAGCGTGCAGCGGTATCTGCGGATGAGTATGATGTGGCGCCACGTGTGCATAGCGATGTGGGTACTGGTGACGATGGCGGCGGCTGCAGCCGTGTTCAGCTCGTCGTATAAGAGCTTCCAAGACGAGCGCCAGGTACGGCGGCTCTCTAACTGACGCAATTCTTGAGTTGAATATTTAGTCGGCGTGTTGAGTCGAGTCTCTTAGTAAGAGCTTCCAAGGGGAGCGCCGCGCCAGTTACGGCGGCGTCGCAGCGCACGTCTCGCATCCGCTTCGAGGCCATTGTAAGACCATGTCACGGTCGTTGCGACGTCGTATAGGAGCTCCCAAAGTGTAAGGCAAATGCGCGTTGGTGCAGGAAATTGGGAGCGGTTGGGGAAGAGGTCGCGCGTACGTGGGCAAGGAGGGGGGCGGGGGTTACCTGCTGTGCGTCATGTCCGCCGTGACACATGCTCAAATTGGCAATGTCTAGCCGTAGGCTTTGGCGGTGGAGTGCGAGTGCGAGTTCGAGTCGTCGTCCAAGAGGCTATTTGAAGCACCTCAAATCAAGCTACTGGTTTAGAGTGCATCGCACGTCGCCTGATGCCGCGGCGGGTGTGGTGTCCCCGTGCTCTCCCCCTCGTGCATGCGCAGGTGGCGTTAGAGGTGGAGTGCGAGTCGTCCAAGAATCTGCTTGAGGCACCTCAGTGTGCAACGCACGTCGCCTCATGCCAAGGCTGTTATGATGTCTCCGTGCTCTTCCCGTGCATGCGCAGGTGGCGTTAGAGGTGGAGTGCGAGTCGTCCAAGAATCTGCTTGAGGCACCTCAGTGTGCAACGCACGTCGCCTCATGCCAAGGCTGTTATGATGTCTCCGTGCTCTTCCCGTGCATGCGCAGGTGGCTCTGGAGGTGGAGTGCGAGTCGTACAAGAAGCTGCTGCAGGACCATTTCACCGACACCTCCAACCAGGTACCACCGCTTTGTACATACTACCAACCGGACAGGACCGCCTTGTAGACGCCATCGACCGTGCGGGTCCAGTCCAACTCCAATTGTTGCTCTCGTCTCCCCTTCTCTCTCTTTCCGCTATCCACGACACCTCCCATCTCCTGCCCCCTTTCTCTCTCCCTTTGGTCCGGCCACTTGTGACGAGAAGACTTGCGAACCGCCTCTAACGTCGGTTCATTTCCTGTACTTTCTTTTGTGGCGCCTCTTGAGGCACATTATGAGGCGCCTCAAAAGTCGACTTGAGAAGCGCCTCTGACGTCGGCTCATTACCTGTACTTTCTCTCCCTTGTCCGCTGCCTGCTGTGTAGATTCGGCTGCTTGCCAACCTGATGACCACGTTTCACTACAACAAGCCCCCGGGCACCCTGGACAGGGTGAGTTGACATGAAACGGTGGAGTGGGTTGAAGCGATTGCATCCTCCCCCTCCTCCTCCCTCCCACGGGTTGAAGCGATTGCATCCTCCCCCTCCTCCTCCCTCCCACGGGTTGAAGCGATTGCGTCCTCCCCTTCCTCCTCCCTCCTTCCTCCCTCCCACGGTCTACCTTCAAAGTTCAAAGGCCTGTTCTAACGCACGCAGCTCGCCCCCACTTCCTCCCGGCCGTTAGCTGTCTCTCCTCCTCTCCCCCCACTCCCCCATCACCAGCGCACACACCTCCCAACCCCCTTCCACTCCCTCTTCCCCCTCGTCCCACCGTCCCCTTTGGGCAGTCCACGTTCATGGGGTTTCTCAACGACACGCAGTACGCGCGCCCTCCTTCCTCACAATGCGGCACCTTTTCCCCGTGCGACCCCTCCCCTGTCCTCTCCCCCGTCTCTCCGCCCCCCCCATCGTCCCACCGTCCCATTTGGGCAGTCCACGTTCATGGGGTTTCTCAACGACACGGAGTACGCGCGTCCGCGTTTGAGGGACGTCTCGTTTGCTGCTAGTGTGCCGCAGGCAGAGAGGGGGGCGTATGAGAGGGCGCAGGGGGGCGGCTTCTGCATCAAGTGAGCTTTTCTCTGCGTCTGGTACTTTCTGCCTGTGTGGGCTGCTCTGCCTGTGTGGGCTGCTCTGCCTGTGTGGGCTGCTCTGCCTGTGTGGGCTGCTCTGCCTGTGTGGTCTGGTACATGTCTGTCTGGTACATGTCTGTCTGGTACATGTCTGTCTGGTACATGTCTGTCTGGTACATGTCTGTCTGGTACAAGTCTGTCTGGTACATGTCTGTCTGGTACATGTCTGTCTGGTACATGTCTGTCTGGTACATGTCTTTCTGGTACATGTCTGTCTGGTACATGTCTGTCTGGTACATGTCTGTCTGGTACATGTCTGTCTGGTACATGTCTGTCTGGTACATGTCTGTCTGGTACATGTCTGTCTGGTACATGTCTGTCTGGTACGTGTCTGTCTGGTACTTTGCTTGTTTGGTCCTCCTCTTCCCCCCATTAATCACCCCTCGTCCTCACCTCCCCTTGTTCTTCTCCCGTAATCCACCTCCCTCGCAACCCACCTCCGCATCTTCCCCCTTCCCTCGCCGCGCGCTCAGGCACGACATGGCATGTGCGGGGCAGCAGTCGGACTATGCACCCATCCTCTACACCACGTCACCGCAGCATCTTATCGGACAAGACATGCTCTGGGGTGAGTTTGGGTTGAGTGCGGTGCGGTGAGTCTCTGAGTAAAATAAATACGCACCCTTCCTCCGCACCACGTGCGCGCATCACCTCATGTGATGGAGTGATTCTGGGTTGCGATAAAGTGACCTCTTCTTTCCCTTCCCTCTTCTTTTCCCCTTCTCCCTCCAGACGCCTTCCCAGCCAACAGGGAGGCAGTGATTCGAGCGCGAGACCAGGGCATTATGGGAGCACTCACGCCGCCGCTACAGATGGCAGTCGACTCACTGGGGGTCATCAACGTCGGCAGCAGCAGCAGCACGGGCGCCTCAGGCAGCACTGTAGCATCAGAATCGAGCGGTAACCGCGACCTAAACACCCTCATGTTACGTGTTTACCCAGTGTATCAGGAGCGTACACCCCCGGGACCCGGGGCTGGCGTGGCTGAGTTCCGATCCAAGTGCCGAGGGTTCATGTCGGCTGTGATTGATTTTGAGCCGTTGATCAAATCGCTGCACCGGGAGCACATGCCGATGTTTGTGAGGGTGTACGATGTGACCAATGGGAGCAGCGAGGCTCAAACCGGGTACTATAGCGGGGGCAACACTGCCGCCCGGGGGAACGGCAGCAGCGGCAACGGCAGCGGCAGTGGCAGCAGCAGCGGCAGCACCAGCGGCACGACTAGCAGCATGACGTCAGCGAGTGGTGATAACACCACGGCAGTACAAAAAACCGGCAGCGGCGGCGGCAGCAGCAGCAGCAATGGCACCGGACCGACGGTTGGGTTTGGGGAGACGATGGCAGTGCCGGGGGAGGTGTTGGGGCGGGGCAGTGTGGAGCGGCTGATGTATGAACCGCAGGACCACCGGCTGGCAAAGGGGCAGAGCGACCGCTACAACTACGTCACAACCATGGACCTCGGTGACCCCTACCGGCAATACGAAATCCGCTGCAGGTGGGTGGTGGAGTGGCTGTGGTCTGGGTGTGGATTGGCGTGTGAGTGGAAGGGAAGGGGGATAGGTAGGAAGCAGCATGTCACCACCATGGACCTGGGGGACCCCTACCGGCAGTACGAGATCCGCTGCAGGTATGGTTGCCTTGGGTAGTGGTCTGGGAATGTGACTGGCGTGTGAGTGGAAGGGCGATAGGCACATGCACGTCCTCGTCGTTCCACTTCCTTCCCCTATTTCTCACCTCTCGTACCCACATTCCTCTCCCCGCCTCCCCCCATTCCTCTCCCGGCCTCCCCTCATTCCCCGCCCCGCCTCCTTTCATCTTTCTCCCCGCCGCCCCCCATTCGTCTCCCCACACTCCCCCCATTCCTCTCCCCTCGTCCCCCCAGGTATCTAGACTACTACATCTTCCCCTACTCCTCGCTGGGCTGGGCGCTCGTTATAATCACAGTCATGTCCCTTCTGGGCTACGTGTGGTGGGTGGCGAGCTCTCAAGTGCACCAATTGGAGCACGACTTCCACCGCATGGAGCTGCTAAAGGACAAAATGAAGGCCGCCCGCAACGTGGCGGAGCGCGCCAGCAAGGCGAAAGGGACGTTCCTCGCCACCATGTCGCACGAGCTGCGCACACCCATGAATGGCGTCATAGGTGCGTGGTTAGGATGGGTGTGGTGGGGTGGGAGGTCTGGGTGAATGGTCAGGGTTCAGTCAGACAGGCACGTGCGCTTGTGCTTACCTCCTTCCGCCACATATGTTCGTGCATCTCCCCACCCTCTCCGCCATTCCCTCCCAGGCATGCTTACCTGCTGCTGGAGACGCCACTCACGATAACCTAGCTAGACTACGAGGAGACAGTGGGGCCCTGGTTTACTCGCAACCAGTGGAGTCAGGGTTCTTTCAGCAGATTCGTTCCTGTGTTCCTTCCTCCCCCTCTCCTCTGCCGTCTCAGGCATGCTGAACCTGCTGCTGGAGACGGTGTCGTGTCGAGGCTGCTCGCACCAGCTGCATGCACACACGCTCATGTATAACCCCCTCCACTCCCCCCTCCCGTCCCATCATCCCGTCCCAGGCATGCTGAACCTGCTGCTGGAGACGCCCCTCACGATCACACAGCTGGACTATGTGGAGACGGCTCGCACCAGTGGGCGGGCACTGCTGGAGCTCATAAACGACATCCTCGACCTCTCCAAGATTGAGGTGAGTTGCAGATGTGGTGAGGGGTGCAGAGCGGTTAGGTAAGCTAGGAGTGTGCACTCAGTGCGAGCACCCAGTGGGCGGGCGCTGCTGGAGCTCATCAACAACATCCTCGACCTCTCCAAGATTGAGGTGAGTTGCTCACAGTAGAGATGACTTTTGAGTCGACTCAAAAGTCACCTCTCCAAGATTGAGGTAAGTTGCTCACAGTAGTAGAGATGACTTTTGAGTCGACTCAAAAGTCACCTCTTCAACGACATCCTGGACCTCTCCAAGATTGAGGTAAGTTGCTCACGGTACTCACCACGCTCACTCCTTCATCTTTTCCTTTCCCCTCTCCTCCAACACGCTTCTTCCCCCCTGCCGCTCCCCACGCTTCCCTCCCCTCCCCACGCCTTCCCTTGCCCATCCACCACACCAGGCGCAGAAGATGCAGCTGGAGTGGGTTCCCTCCCATGGACGTGCGGGGAGAGGCAGACACGGTCCTCACAAACTTCATCGAGCGCTTCCCTCACTGCATCCTTTCCCTCCTTCCCTCCTTCCCTCCTTCCCCGTCATTCCCCCTCTCTCCTCTTCCCCCCACCAGGCGCAGAAGATGCAGCTGGAACCCGTACCCATGGACGTGCGGGGAGAGGTGGACATGGTGCTCACTGTGCTGTGCCGTTCCCTTTCCCCAACTACCACCCTTCGCCACCCGTTCTTCACCCACCAGGCGCAGAGGATGCAGCTGGAGCGCGTGTTGATGGACGTGCGGGGCGAGGTAGACACTGTGCTCACCATGTTGACTCCCCTGCCCTTCTCTTTCCGCACCTCCCCAATTCCCCCCCGTTCCCCCACCACACCAGGCACAGAAGATGCAGCTGGAACGAGTCCCCATGGACGTGAGGGGAGAGGTGGACACCGTACTCACCATGTTCATCGAGCGCTTTCGAGACAAGCCGCTGCTGCAGGTGGCGGCATATGTCGACCCCCTCGTGCCCGCTGCTGTTCTCGGTGACTCGCTGCGCCTGCGCCAGGTCCGTTGTGAAACAGGGACTGGAGCTCCCCTGTAAGGTTGTGTTGTTGTGAGTGACCTTCCTTTAGGCACCTGCAGGTCGCTGTGTTCTTGGACCCATTCGTGCTGGCAGCTGTTCTCAGCGACTCCTTGCGCTTACGTCAGGTAGGTCTCCAGGTGCTTATTTCCAGGTGGTCTCCAGGTGCTTATTTCCAGGTGGTCTCCAGGTGCTTCTGCCAGGTGGCTTGTAAGTTTCTTAAAGTCACCTAGTGGCTAGAAAACATTTATTGATTTCCTTCCTCCCTTGTCCCACCAGGTGCTGATCAACCTGCTGTCCAACGCCTGCAAGTTCACCGAACGTGGACACATTTTCATCGCCATCCGCACAGCAGAACCAGACGAGGATCTGCGCAAGTCAGCTCGCAAGCACCACCACCACCACCGCTCCCTCCGCTCGCATGCTCCTGGCATGATAGCTGATCAGCCATCAGCCACTACCGTGGCAGCGGATAAGCCTTCTGCCTCTGCTGTGACAGGCGATAAGCCGTCTGTTGCAGCAACTGAGATGAAGACTGGCGAGAATCGAAGGGTTATCGGCAGCACTGGTGCTGCGAGCTACACTGCTGTTGCTGCTGCCGCCGCTGCTGGTAGTGGTAGTGATGGTGGTGGTGGCGGTTGTCAGGGTAAGGAGGATGCGGCAAAGGAGGACGTGGAGGAGAGTCCATCCAAGGATGTTGCCTTCCGACCTGAACGACAGTCGGCTCGATTGAGCGCTCTTATGCTCGCTGCTGCTGATGGCAATGCTTCTGCTGCTGGTGCCGCTAGTGCTGCTGGTGGTGCTGCTAGTGCGGATGGTGCGGCCACCACTGCCACTACAATCACCACGTCTCACAACAACAACAGCAGCAGCAGCAGCAGCAGCTCCACACCTCCACCCCTCTCTCCCCGCGTTCCCCTACTCGGCGAAAAGCCCGTCCTGACAGGGCGAACCAGCATCACAGGCAGGCGAAGCAGCAGCAGCAGCAGATTTGGCGGCGGCAGCGGTGTGAACGGCACGGCACCGGACAGGCTGACTCTGAGCGGGCGAGAGGCCGTGGACAGCTGCAACAGCTGGGCTGTGCTGGGCGCGCGGCGAGACAAGTGGCGCGAGGATGGGATGAGACGCGGGGAGAAGAGGGAGGGGAAGAGGGATGGGGGGATGGAAGGGGAGGGAGGTGAGGAAGGGGAGGGTGGTGGAAAGGGCAGAGGAGGAGGAGGAGGCGGAGGAGGAGGAGGAGGCGGAGGAGGAGGAGGAGGAGGAGGAGGCGGAGGAGGAGGAGGAGGAGGCGGAGGAGGAGGAGGAGGCGGAGGAGGAGGAGGAGGCGGAGGAGGAGGAGGAGGCAGGAGTCCTCTGTTGAATGGCCCGACCGTGCGACTCGTCATCTCTGTTGAGGTACAGGCCTCGTGAAATAGCATCTCCAGGTGGACCATACTGAACTGAAATGCAGGCGGATCTTCCAATCATGCAGGCAATCGCGAGCACAACGCGCACACACGCATTCCGCCTATTCTCATTCCCCTCTGCCTTTCCTTCCCTCTCCTCCTCACCCACCCACATAACACAGGCGAGGGCATCCCGTACCCCGCGCAGCGCACCATCTTAAAGCCCTTCATGCAGGCGGACGCGAGCACGACGCGCACGCACGGCGGCAGGGGCATCGGGCTGTCCATCTCGCGCCACCTTGTTGACCTCATGGGCGGCAAGCTCTCCTTCACCTCCTTCACCTCCTTCACCTCCTTCACCTCGTGCCCAGGCCTACACTCTCACTGAATTCTCATTTCCTCCCCTGGTACGCTGCTTCCCCCCCTTTTCTCCCCAACCCACCCACAGGACACAGGAGAAGGCATCCCCTATCCCGCACAGCAAACCATCTTAAGCCCTTCATGCAGGCGGACGCGAGCACGACGCGCACGCACGGCGGCACGGGCATCGGGCTGTCCATCTCGCGCCACCTCGTGGACCTCATGGGTGGCAAGCTCTCCTTCACCTCGCGCCCGGGCGTGGGCACCACATTCTTCTTTGATGTTGTCATGCCCACCCATTCCCGAACCGTATGCTGCTCCACCCATTCCCCACTCCACAGGACACGGGCGAGGGCATCCCCTACCCCGCGCAGCGCACCATCCTGAAGCCCTTCATGCAGGCGGACGCCTCAACAACGCGCACGCACGGCGGCACGGGCATCGGGCTGTCCATCTCGCGCCACCTCGTGGACCTCATGGGTGGCAAGCTCTCCTTCACCTCGCGCCCGGGCGTGGGCACCACATTCTTCTTTGATGTGGTCATGCCCACCCATTCCCGAACCGTATGCTGCTCCACCCATTCCCCACTCCACAGGACACGGGCGAGGGCATCCCCTACCCCGCGCAGCGCACCATCCTGAAGCCCTTCATGCAGGCGGACGCCTCAACAACGCGCACGCACGGCGGCACGGGCATCGGGCTGTCCATCTCGCGCCACCTCGTGGACCTCATGGGTGGCAAGCTCTCCTTCACCTCTCGCCCGGGCGTGGGCACCACCTTCTTTTTTGATGTGGTCATGCCCTGTGAAAGCCGCGATGGTGAGCCTGTTGCTGCTGCTGCTGCTGCTGATGTGGCTGCTTCGGCTGCTGCTGCTCGTGCTGCTGATGTTGCACAGCCTGCAGGAGCAGAACCAGGAGCAGGATCAGGAGCAGGATCAGGAGCAGGAGCAGCAGCACTGGCAAGAACAGCTTCATTGGTGGGGCCAGCAGATTCTGTGATTGTAGAGATTAGAGATTCAAAGCACGGCGTGGCTTTGAAGGACGACGAAGGCTGCAGCTTCCCCCTCCTCGCCGAACCAACTTCAGGTTCGGAATCACCGCTGCTGCCATGGGGCATTCCAGCTTCGGCACAAGCAGCAACAGCATCACCAATAGCGAAACCTCCTTCACTTCAACCACCAGCACTTACAGCACTATCCCCCTTAAGATCATCCCCTCTAAGATCATCTCCGCCACACGTGCTGCCAGCCTCGCCTCTACACATCCTCCAGCAGACCGAAGCGAGCCTATCTCAATTCTCCGCCATTCTCCTCGACGACCGTGCCGTGAGGTTCGGCGTGATGGAGAGCCTGCTCAACAGGCTCAGCATCCCGGTGCTAAACAACCCCGAAGCCGTCGCCGAACCTGTTGTGCACATTCCAAACCACAATTCCCTCGTCACTGCTCCAGCTGCGGTGGGCGCAGGAGTTGGTAAGCGGCTGGTGATTGTGGTGGTGGATGAGGAGTGGCTGGGCCGGTACAACAAGGCAGTGCTTCGACAGAAGAAGAAGCAGTGCGAGGGGGAGGGGCAGCAGGGACAGGAGGGACAGGGAACAGTCCCTGAAGAGGAGGTGCTGGAAGGGCAGGAAGGGGAGAAGAAGAGGGCATGGAAGGAGGGAGAGAGGTGTATCAGCAGCAGCAGCTGCACATGGCAATGGCTTGCAGTGAGTGCAATGGCCAAAGCAGGCTACGAGGTTTGGCCAAGCCTGCTTCACCAGACAGGCTCGGCTGAAGCACCTGGTACCCAAGGTGGTGGTAACCAGACCCGTGGCGGCAGCAGCGGTAGCAGCCCTGAAAACAGCCAATCCAGCAGCAACAGTGGATGTAACCATAGCAAGGAAGGCGAGTCTGGCTGTAGAGGAGACAAATGCCACACATGCCAGCTGCCTCGAATGGGCAGAGGCAGCTTCTGTAGCACCACCAGCAGCACCAGCAATGGGAGCAGCGGTAGCAGTGGCAGCAGTGGCAGCAGTGGCAGCAGTGGCAGCAGTGGCAGCAGTGGCAGCAGTGGCAGCAGTGGCAGCAGTGGCAGCAGTGGCAGCAGTGGCAGCAGTGGCAGCAGTATTGGAGCAGGGACAGATGCCACTATCCGTACCAATGCTAGTAGAAGCAGCTTCTGCAGCAGCAGCGGGAATAGCGACGGCAGCGGCAACAGCAGTGGCAGCAGCAATGGCAGCAACCTAGGGTGTGGATTCTGCTGCTGTGGGAGCAGCGGGCACGGGATGATGGATGGAAGCGATAGCATGGATGATTGGCCTTGGTTTGCTGCTGTGATGCTTTCTTCAGGGCACGCGGGCAGTAAGCGGGAGGGCGCAGCAGCAGCAGCAGCAGCATGTAAGGCTTTTGATGTGACTATATCGAAGCCTGTGAGGCAGAATGCTCTCTCTACAAACCTCTCACTGTTGCTTCTAGGGGGGGATGGGCCGCTAGGGACAGAAGATGGGGCTGAGGAGGAGGAGGAGGAGGAGGAGGAGAGAGAAAGGGTGGGTGGGAGGGAGGAGGAGGGGGGTGATGATGGCGACGATGAGAGGGAGTATGATGAAGAGGAGGATGAGGAGGAAGGGGAGGAAGAGGAGTGTAAAGCAGGGAAAGGAGGGGAAGGGAGGCAGGTAGGCAGAGGCACTGCAGTGGTGCGAACAGGAGGTGAGGGTCAGGAGCAGCTGCAGCCGCAGCAGCAGCAGCAACAGCAGCAGCAATTCTCGATGCCGAAAAGCGCATCAGATCAGAGCTCGCCGGGTCCCGTGGTGCGATGGCTGCTTCCTGCTGACGACGACGACGACGACGACGATTCTGATAGAGTTTCTCACAGCGGCCCGCTGTCACGTTCTCACGGGGATAAGGGGATTTACTGGCCTGGAACCACCACGAGGAGCAGAAGCACTGGTAAGAGCAGCGACAAGAGTCCCCAAAGAGCAGGCATCCTCAAGTTTGGCAGCACGGATGGAAAGATGAATGAGGCTCCTGCTGCTGCTTCTTCAGCCCCTGCTGCTCCTGCTGCTTCTGTAGCCTATGCTGCTGCTGCTGGTTCTGCCGCCCCTGCTGCTGCTTCTGCACCTGTTGCATCGGCTGCCCCTGCTGCCGCCCTTGAGAGTGATGGTATTGACACAGGGGCGGGGCGGCAAACACGGCGAGTGAGAATAAGTCTAGATGAGGCGGGGTCAACACAGTCAACGCGGTCAACTCGGTCAACCATGTCTAAAGGTCGCAAATCCACAGGCTCTATGCCGGAAGGTGATGTGCCGATCATTGCCACCCGCCACAAGACCCGTGCTGCCCAGGCGGCTGCTGGAAGCCCGTCGTCCGTGCCGCCCGCTCTGCCGTCAGGAGCGTCGATGCGCAAGGAGAGTGATGGAGCGAGGCTGCTGTGCCAGGCGCTCAAGGGCAAGAAGATTCTCGTGGTGTGTCTCGCTCTCTGCCTTCTCTCATTCTTGTGATGTTTTGGGACGTCTCAAAACATCGCTTTTATCACATCGCTGCGCAAGGAGAGTGATGGAGCGAGGCTGCTGTGCCAGGCGCTCAAGGGCAAGAAGATTCTCGTGGTGTGTCTTGCTTGACTGCCCTCCCTCTGCATTCCAAGCAGCTCAGGAACAATCATATTAACACAATAAAGAGAAAGGAAAGGGGATGTATGTAGATCTACGTATTATACATGTAGCTATATAATATTTGCACCCTCCCTCCCACCCTCTTCCCTCTCCTTCCACCTTCCCCTCTCGTTCCCTGTCTCTCTCATGTTGTCAGGTGGACGACAACATGGTGAATCGCAAGGTGATGGCGCGCATGCTGCAGAGAAGCTCCTCCCTCATACTCTTCTCTCAATACTGACCTCCCCACTCTCCTCCTACCCCATTTCTCCCCCCCCCTTCCCCCCCCAATCCACCGCCAGGTGGACGACAACATGGTGAACCGCAAGGTGATGGGACGCATGCTGCAGCGGTACGGCGTGGAGGTGGAGACGGTGGATGGCGGCGTCAAGGCTGTCAAGGCCGTGCAGCAGGCAACTACCAGATTTGATTGCGTCTTCATGGACGTGCAGGTGCGGCAGCTGTTTGTCTGGGCGGCTGTTTTTGGACGTTACTGGACTGTGTTTGGGGAGAGAGGAAGATCCAAGGTCTTAAGGTGTTTTGTACATTCGTTTTATGGTTTGTTATGATGAGTCCTTTTTGTGTGTTGTTGGTTGGTGGATTGATATTGTTTCCCTACATTTATTTTTGCAGATGCCGGAGATGGATGGGCTGGAAGCCACGGGTCTCATACGCAAGTATGAAGCTGGTGTGAATGGTGGAAACACACAAAAAGGCCGGACAGCAGACCGGTTATTAGTGATTGCACTTACAGCTGATGTGGGTGCTGGCACAAAGGAGAAGTGCTTGAAGAATGGGATGGATGGGTACATGACCAAACCCATAGAGGAAGAGCAACTCTGTCGAGTTGTGTTGCCGTTTTTCACAGCCTTGGCAGCTTGTTCGCGAACATGATGGTACATAAGCTTTCCATATTGTGTTGTATTTCTTCATATATAAAGCTTCCTAGTTTGTTTTCTTGTCATAGCATGTAAGGGTGCAATCTGCTGTTGGGATAAATTGAAAAGGAGGTTTCACTCAATAATCGAATAAAAGAAGATCATAAAACAAGAGTGTAGGGTGCCGTTATCAACAGTGATGCACCCATCCTTCCGTCAGACCCGTCTGTCAGCTCCCGCCAAATTCCCTTGGGATTGGTTTGGACATCTCCGTGAAAGTGAAGGCTTCAGCATATTGTACAAGCAAAGACATGCTGCTGTGCAGGGTGAGCAGAACAAGACCGAATTTGCTACAAGCTGGAAAGATATGAAGCAAGAATAATGGAAGCACAGGTGGAAATATGAGAGCCCTGGAATGGCGTCTACTTGGAGGATCTCCATTTCCGCAGCTTTGAGTATTTCCGCGATCACCACGTTCCGTGTCGTCGATAACTATGCGGCTGCGTTCAGATTGTAGATAAGCACTCTGGATGCTGCTGTCTGTTTCCACTTACAATATTTACATTTTCGACATTTTCATTTTCCAAACGTTGTCGCTTCTACAGACGAGAGTGCGGAGTTGAGCGTTGTTGCGTGACGATAGAACTAGAACGCGCTGTAATTCGGTATTTTGGTATTTGTTAGGCGCGTGACTGGTATTTTGGTCCGCTGGGATGGCTTTCTTCGAAGCTCGCCGCTCGTTCGACCGTGCGCTGGCGTCAGACACGTGGACAGACCCCGCTATAGTCACGAGAGCCGTTAAAAGGCGGTTAGGACTACCTGAGCCTGAAGAAACAGCTTCTGTGTCCGCTAGAGGAAAGTGCGATGGAGCTTCTGTGGGGGGAAACGGAACGCAGGGAGAAATAGAAAATGCGGCAGAAATGTTAGAGGAAATAGCTGCTGGTGCACCTTCTTTTGGGGAAAATGGAACGCAGGGAGACATAGAGAATGCGGCAGAAATGCTACAGCAAGTAGCTGCTGGTGGATCCGAAGCAACAGCTAGTAACGGAGCGACCCGAGCAGCTCAGGATGGAAGCGGGAAATCTAGTAACGGAGCGGGAGTAGAAGCCAGCGATGGGGAAGTCAGCGGATGGCCCCTTCGCAGCCAGACGGTCCAGACGGCATATCACAACTCCCCAGGTTCGTCGCGGAAGTGCTTTTGTGGTCGTCGGGAAAGTCCGTCTTCGTCATCTTTTACCTGCCAGCATGGCATGTGGTTGCGTGAATGCTGTCTGTTCATCCAGTTTTTAGACCGCTCACAACCATTACAGCATGTGGTTGCGAAAATGCTCTTGATTTGTTCATTCAGCTGCAATGGTCGTGCTTTTGAAGTGAAGATGGTTGTGTAGATAGATTCTGTACTGTTTTCACCAAACAACCAAACAATCAGATTTCACATGCCCAGGCGTAAGGCAACACCATGTCGTGTCAGGTTTGGTCAGCTCCATGATTTTCTGTGCGCTTTACCTTCACTCGTGCCACCACCTTCAGAATCCTGGGTTCATGTGTGCGATGTTTCCTTTGTGCGTCCAATATTTCCCATGTGCGTCACTGTGTCCACGTGCGGCCTGTTCCCGTCCATCAGACGGCGCCACGAATAACAGCAACTCAGCCGCTGCAGCCGACCCTCCACCCACCGAACTCCTCCCTCCATCAGCAGCAGCAGCAGCACCAGCCAAAGAACCTGAATCCCAGCCCCAGTCCCAGTCCCAGTCCCAGCCCGAGCCCCAGCCCCGGCTGACGCACGAGCAGTACTCGGGTCTGGCGGAGGGCACAGAGATGGACAAGGTGGTTGCGGCGCGGGTGAGGGACACGGAGGGCATGCTGGAGGCGCTGCGCAGTGCGGCGGGCAGCAGCTTTGAGGACATGGCTCTGCACCGCGAGGAGTCCCGCGCCCACCCCGAGGCGTTTGGACAGCGCGACTGGCGGGTGAGCGGGAGAAAGGGAGTGGCGGGTGGGAGGGAGAGGCGGGTGAACGGGATTGGTGGGCGAGAGGGAGTGGCGGGTGGGGGGAAAGAGGCGCGTGAGAGGGGGTGGTGGATGAGCGTGGTAACAGAGAGGAGTCACGAGCACATTGCACCCTGGTAGCATTCGGAGAGAAACGGTTTTTGGGGACACAATGAGAGTCACCTGTGCGAAGGAGAAGGTATTTTTTTGCGTGCAGCATAGCAAGAATCGACTTTTGTGGCGCCTCAAAAAGCGTTCACTCTGAGCAGCGTAAAGTGAAGAGCCACAGAGTGAAGTGCCTCAGTGGAGGGGTTCCCAATCCTCCCCTCAACAACCCCACATACTTTCCCGCGCACCTCTCCATTCTTCCCCCTTCCTCTGGTGCTAGCTGGTGGAGGCAGTTTATAATTCTCCCTCTTCCCTCCCCACCCACCAAACCCACACACTCTTCCCTGGGCACTCCTCCCCTCTCTTGTGTCTCTCCTCTCTCGCCCCTTGTGCAGCTGAAGGAGCAGAGCAAGAGCCACAGGGTGATGTACCGCCCAGGGGCGGAGGGAACGGCCTTCCACGAGCTGTGCTTGGAGGGCGTGCTCAAGGGATCCCTCGACACTGGTGGGCTGCTCTTTTGGTTTGCCGGATTTTCTTTGTGTGGTGGAATGGCGTTTTCTGCGCTCAAGGGCTCCTTTCCTTTGTCACTCGTGGTTTTCTTTTCTTCTTCTTCTCCCATTCAGCAAATAAGTTGATGTTGTTGTGGTGCTGTCTGTGCTCATGACGTGCTCCTGATGTGATCGTGACGTGCTCCTGATGTGCACTACATTTCCCACCTCTGCCTCCATTGATCTCATGTCCACGGCCATCGTTTCATCTGTTGAGGCAGTCTCAAAAGTCGCATTGATCTCACATCTGTGCCATCGCTTCGCCTGCTCCATCACTTCTTCTGCACAATGCACTGCGATTGGAAATTTGGATCATGGGCTTAAAAAAAAGCACTCTGATGGTCTCATATCCACGCCTCTTTCTCTCATCACAATGCAGTGCTCGCGGTGGCTTGGGAGGCTCCTTTCTTCATTGACTGGTAGGTGCGCTCTCCTCATGTCCTCATGTGTACGAACACATGTGCTCATGGTTACAAACGCGCGTTATCATGGGTACAAAGACGTGCCGTCATGGTACAAACATGTGTTCTTATGGGTACAAACGGACGTTTTCGTGGGTGCACGTGTCCCCACCTCATAGTATCCTCCCTTTCCCTCCATCCCCACTTATTTCTGTTTTGTCAGGTATTGTGGTGCTACTATCTGCAAGGTTTGAAACTTGTAAAGAAAGAATCGATGAGTGTGTTTCATGTACCCTGCTGTCTTCCATTTTGTCCTGCCCCCCACCTTTACCTCCCCCCCTCCCTACCTTTTTCCCTCTCTCCCTCCCTCTGTCCCCCTTTCCCTCCCTCCCTCCCTCCCTCCCTCCCTCCCTCCCTCCATCACGTCCCGCCCTCACATCACGCATCTCCCTCACACACCACGCCCTTCCCTAACACCACGTCTCTCCATCCCACCACGCCCGTCCCCCCCTCCGCCTCACAGTGCCGCCCTTCCACATGCTCGAGTCCAAGTTGGTCAAGAGAGTGGCTCAATCCCTACCTCTCTCCTCCCCTCACTGCGTGCGTCCCTCAAACCACGTCTCTCCTCGCCCCTCTCCTCTCCTTCCCCAGGTGGCCGCAGTTCTCAGTGCCGCCCTTCCACATGCTCGAATCCAAGTTCGTCAAGAGAGTGGCACCGGGATACGAGCTCGTACACCTGCGGTCAGTCACTGCCACACTGGCTAGTGGAAGGAGCACAAGGGCAGCAAGAACGCCATGTCACACACCAACTCTTCTCACACACCAACTCTTGTCGCACACCAACTCTTCTCACACACCAACTCTTCTCACACACCAACTCTTCTCACACACCAACTCTTCTCGCACACCAACACTTCTCACACACCTCGTCATCGCGCGTGCGCTCGTCTGCACTTCCCCTGTTTCGCCCCTCACTGTTCACGTCCTCTCAAACTCCAACACCCTTAATAACCAATCTCTCCAACCGATCCTGTCTGCTACCCTTCTCTGCCATGCACGCCCCGCTACAGCTTCAAGGTGCCGTGGCCATTCGCCACGCGTGAAATCCTCTATGTGCTCTTCTCCGTGCACGATGCTGCCACCGGCTTCATCGCCACCTCCCTCATCTCTGTCAGTGCCCTCCCCCCCCCCTTCCCTTCTAAAATGATTATCTAGTCCAATCGAAGGAACTCTCTACATGCTCTTCCTCTCTTCTCCGTGCACGATGCTCCCACCGGCTTCATCGCCACCTCCCTCCTCTCTGTCAGTGCCACAAAACCCCCCTTCTTGTCTTCCTCACTTGCACCATGCTTTACCGCTCCTTCCTTTCTGTGCTCTCTTTTCCATTCACGATGCTGCTGCTGCTGCCGCTGCCGCTGCCGTCCGCAAATTTCGTCGTTGAGCTGAGGTCCATCTTAGCGTAGTCTGCCACCTTTCTCAGCCAAGCCATTGTTCAGCTGCAGCACTGACTGGCGTCATCTCTATTTTGAACAGCACATTACTATTTTGAGAGGTTTGCCCTCACACCATGGGGATCCTTATGTATCATCGGGGCTGCCCTCTCAATTTACTCTTCCATCTGTTTCTCCTTTCTCTCATTCATCCCTTCCTGTCAATTTCCCCTGTGCTGGGTTGTACCGTACCTTCTCATATTTCCCGCTTCCTTCCCACCTCAAGTGTTTTTCCTTCACAACATATTTTCCCCCTTCTCCTTGCACGTGCTTCCTCCTACAGTATTGAGTTGTTTTTTTAGGCACCTCAAAACCCTTCTCCTCCTCACGTACCCCACTTCTCGCACGTGCTCCACTTCTCGCACGTACCCCACTTCTCGCACGTACCCCACTTCTCGCACGTACCCCACTTCTCGCACGTACCCCACTTCTCGCACGTGCTTCCCCCCCCTGCAGTATCCAGATGACCCAGCTACCTTTGACCCTGGCTCGTATGGTTTCTCCAATGACGGGGTGCCACGTGTGCGTTCTGGAGAGGTCCGTATGAGTTTGAAGGGCGGCTTTGCATCCAAGGACCTTGGCAACGGCTGCTGCTACTTCCGGTGAGTCGCTTCATTTCAATTCGACCACCCAATGTTCCTTCACAAACTAGAGGGGGGGTTTTTTTGGCCTCGAGAGAGTGTGAAGTGGGTATTCCTGTATTTAGGTGCCTTGAGAGACTGTGACGTAGGGTATTCTTGTATCGCAACGATTGACATGAAGCTGAACCCCATTCTTCATCCTATCTCTTCTATTCAATCCCAACCCCTTCTGCTAACCACTCACCCTGCCTGTTACCCCACTCCTCTTGCCACTTGACTCCTCTCCCCCAGCGGTGTCGCAACCATCGACATGAAACTGAACCTCATTCCGCCGTGGGCCATCAACTTTGTGTCGCGACAGCTGGCGGGGTCTGGTTACCACCTGCTCTACAGTGTGCGTGCGCCCGCTGTGTCTGTTGCTGTGCTGGTGCTGGTGCTGCTGGTATTGCTGCTACTGTTCCAAGCGACCCATGCATCAACTCATTCCATCACTCGTCCCGCCTCTCCCTCTCTCTCTCCCTCTCCCTCTCCCTCTCCCTCTCCCTCTCCCTCTCCCTCTCACTTATTTTCTCTCTTCCCCGCCCGGCGATACCGAACATCCCTCACTGCAACGCTCAGGAGGTAGAGAGTGTGGCGGACGGCAGCAACAATGAGGCGGACAAGTTCCGCGCACTGCTCCGCTCAGACCCCTTCTACTACTCCGTGGGCCGGGCCATGCGCTCCCACCATGCCGCCGCAGCAGCGCAGGGCGAGCGGGCAAAGCAGGAGCAGGAGCAGCTGCAGCAGCAGGGCGAGGCAGAGTCGTTCCGGCAGATTGGGGAGCGAGTGGAGAAGGAAGTGGAGAGGCTAGTTGCAAGCACGTCTGGGAGTGAGAATGTGGTTGCTGGTGCTGGTGCTGCTGATAGTGCAGCTGCTGGTGCCCCCGGTGGTGATGTGGGAGTCATGAATGCAGCTGAAGCGTTAGCAGAGGAAGCTGCTGCTCCGGTGCCGGCTGCAGCAGGGTCGGCCAAGCCTGCCTCCCCTGCGTCAGTGGCGAGACCGCCACACCCTCCCTCGCCCAGGAAGCTTCTGGCCCCTGCACAACCTGCGACTGCAAAGGCAGCAGCAGCAGGCACTTTACCAGCAGCTCAAGGTCTCCAGTATGGGCAGTTACTGCAGAGGGACCCGGCAATATTCCATGCGGTTACCACCCTCGATAGAGCCATCTCCTTTATGAGAGCCAGAGCAGCAGCTCAGCGCCAGGCAGCAACTGCTGCTGCAGGCAGTGGTGCTGCTGGGCTCCCAGGCCTGGTACCGCCGAAGCAAGAGGTTTGGAGCTACAGTGGCGAGCTTCGGCCTGTACCTAGGCAGGGTGAAAGTGGAGGGGATGGGGATGCTGGGGAGACTGGTGGGAGTGGGGAAGGGGGGACTGGGGAGAGGGTGTGGATGCTGACTAGGACAATATCGGCAAGTCCTGCGGATCACGCGAGGGGTGAGGGGCTTGAGCTTGAAGCAGCAAGATTGGTCCAGGAATCAATACCAGCGCCTGCATCAGCATCAGGAACAGCAGCGACAGAAACATCTTTATCACAATCAGCAGCAGCTGCAGCACCCCTTCCCTCGGTGGCAGTTGAGTTTGAAGCAGCAGAACAGCAAGAGGGCACAGATACAAGCAGGGATGTGCCAGTCACCAATGCTGCAGAGGCAAGTGGAAGTACTACTGAGCGGCCATCTTCGGCCCCCACAGGAGGGAAGGGAGGGAGGGATGAAGGGAGGAGGACGACCGAAGGAGGGGAGGATGCAGACAGCAAGGGTAACAAGAAGCAGGGTGGGAAGAGACCCTGGCGCAAGGGTTTTTTTGGAATCAAGTTCTCCAGAAGTCCAGGGTGATCGCAGTGCATGGGCCTGGCAAGTTCTTGCAATTGGGTCACATACTAGGTAAGAACCATTATGTATTACTAGTTGGTCACATTTCTGTGTTCTTTGTACTGTGGTTATATTCTTACCTGCAGATACCTACGTTACCTAGGTTACGTATACACGTTTCAGTATGCTTTGATGTCTATAGGTACCAGACACAATGTCTACGTAGTAACTAAAATGGAAACCATACCTGCTGCACCTTGCTGAAGGAAACTCACTACAAGAGGAGTAAGCTGAGAGAGCTGCTATGGTGGGTGGGAGCGAGGTATGTCACCTCCTGTCAGGAGCTAATCTAAGGAGAGATTTCTTGTGCAGGTTGATGCGGGTGTCTGACAAGGAGAGGTGGCCTCCACTCCTTACGTCGCCGCTCAGCTGCTAGTCTCTCTTCGTACATCTCCTTGGTTTCCACCTGGACCAGCCGTTTGACCTGGAACCGAAGGCATGAAAAAAAAGCAGCGGGTTAGTGCCTTGTCGGAATACCGCGCTACATATATTCCCCAGGAAAGGGCCCTCCACACATACGAGGCCCGAAAGTTGAAGTGGTGCGTAGAAAACTCGTATCTTCCACCTTCTCAAGCCTTGCATTACAATGGAATCACCGCAAACGGCGATGGACTGGGATATGCAAACTTTCCGCCGTTACAGTTGACTCTGCGACAAAAAAACGGAGTTCTGGGACGACATAGCCTGGTAAGTAAGCGCACCTTTTCGATCATCCCTATGACTGACGGATTGTTAGGCAACTCAACCGTTGACTCTCGCTTCCGCAGGCCTAGAGCAACGACGGTAGCCCGTTGATCGGACCTCTTTCCTGCCAATCCACGCTTCAGCGTTACGACCAGCCTACTTGACCATCTGATGGCCGGCTGGGCGGATGATGCGGAAGGCATGGCGGAATTTAGGGTACAGTGGATAGCTCACTGAATACTTGGAAGTTGTTTTGGTGATAGTCGAAACACTAGGGTGCCATTAGGAAACCAAAATTACTACACCTGCAGCAAAAACACTGTCACACTTCGCGAGGGAGGGACGAATGTGACGAAATCTCGCTGCGGCTGTTTCGCACAGGAAAGCAGGAAAGATGCTGTAACGAAACTCTTCGTATGGAAGTTCATTTCCTTTCGCCTGTATGCAGCCAGTTGTTCGCAAAACAAGTTTCCGGCCTGTCTTGTCAGTCAGATCGAAAAGAAGTTACGTCGCTGCCAACATCAGCTGCACTGCACATATTTCCCTGCATATATTGTCGGTCAGCCAGTCATTCCACGGTTCTCCCTCATGGAGCACACGCTGATCCGGATCCGACGGTCGACGGAGGGATCAGGGAGTGAAACGCGAGTGTCTGGCAGTGCCCCTAGCACCTCAACGATTTCTTCAGCTGCATTTTCACATTCGACTGCTGGAGAGCTAGCACGTCGTGCAGTCCCTTTTTGCCTCAGCGTTGCCGTGTGTTTGTTGATGCGTGAGTATCGACGCGACGTGTGATGTTCTCCATAGTTTTCTTCTAAAGTTGACTGTTTCTTGCAGTTATCATATGGAGCCTGCGCAAGACAGATTCCGCTTATCGCTTCATTCAATCCCAAGAGCCTACGCAATCCTTGCAGGGAGAGCTGACAGCAATTAAGCTACCAGAAAGCAAGTTTCTAGCAGTATTCCAAGTTAACAGCAACCAGTGCATCGACGAGAAATTCTCTGAACGCCGGTTAAGGTTTGCGAAATGCGGATTCATTACCTTGGGAGAAACGTCATGGAGCAACGCGACATTCGTATACTTCGCCGACCAAGCCGTCCACGCCATCTGCTCACGTGATAATGAAACGGATGGTTCCATGGAACCCACTATGTTGCGGATCTATTACGACACTGGCAGCGTGGATCTGCTCGTTCGCAAGGTTCATCTGGCGTCCTGGGATGGATTAGTGTATGCTGCATCAGCTGAACCCGAAGGCCTGTATGTCTGGGCGAAAGGTATCGCTCACCTTCACAACGGAAGGCTTCACGGTCAGATCAAGTGCCTGATCGACGGAGTTGCGACAGCTCCGTTGATACTTTCCCAGGAGATTGCGCTGTGTCCGTTTTCTCAGACTAATTTTTCAGAGTCAGCATGTGGCTGTCTCGACTTTCCAGTCACGCTAACACTACATGGATCACCTTTACCCTCTGTAGCTTCCGTCTGTAGGCCCAATTCCACGTTCACTTCCACCAGCTCAGTATCTGGCGAAGCACTACATGCAGCCAACAACAGTCAAGCCAGGAGAAGCGGACACATTGTTCTCCTGGATGGGTATCCCCATGCTAACACATCCACTGACGAGTCCCCCGTGAAGCAGTACTACCTGTGTGTATGCACAATGGTTCTTGACAGCCCAAAGTTCATGGAGGAGTGGCTCCTGTACCATGGATTCCTTGGTGTGGAGCATTTCTTTGTGTATGACAATGGCAGTGAAGACGGGCTTCAGGAATCTGTTGAAGAAGCTCAGGAGACCGGTCGTGCAAGAGGGTTTGGATTTTCAACCACAATACGCAGCTGGCCCTGGCTCAAGTCTCAGGAAGGCGGTTTTTCTATTGTGCAATTCGAGCCAAGAAGCTCTGCACGTGGGTCATGTTCGTAGATGTGGACGAGTTCGTCTTCCCAGCACGGAAGTTGAAGAAAATCGAGTCACGGAAGCTCTTCGCAGCTGGAAGCCAGTATGCTTCTCTTTTACGCAAGTTCGTGAAAGGTCTGGCTAAGAAACATGCTGCAGCAGCGATTGCTATTGGTAGAAACGATTTCTGTGAACAGGTTGGGCAGATTGCTCTGCCTTGCCTGATATTTGGCCCATCAGGTCACCAAGAGCATCCAGAAAGGGGAGTTGTTTCTGGGTACACGTGCAGGCTGGAGCTTCCTGATCGCCACAAGTCAGTTATCCTGACTGAATCTTTAGATCCTCCATATCACAACGTGATACATCACTTCACTAGCTTGAAGCATCAGTACTGCTCACTGAATGTGGGCCATACACATGGAGCTATTTTCCACTACAAGTACCAGGCATGGCCCGAATTCAAGACCAAGTTCAGGAGGAGAGCTTCCACTTTTGTGGCTGACTGGACGCAGATGGATAGGTTGCAATCCAAGGATCGAGTTCCTGACTTGGGTGTGGAGGCAAGAGAGCCTGCTGATTGGAAGGATCGCTATTGCGAAATTGAGGATTACAGGCTGAAGAGGACTTTCACACAGATGGCATCCGCCACTTCCTACTGGCGCTATGAGAATGCGTTTGCTGCAATGCACCATATATTTGAGAACTTGTTTGGTGCATCTGGACTTATATGATTCTGTGCATGGAGAATTTTACATCAAGTTGGCTTATTCTTTATATCGATGATGCTTATGAATTCACTGTACTTCCAAACCTTATCACGAGGATGCTTATGTCAACCCCAACCTCTCGTTTGCTTGGTAACATCACATCACCGACCAAACCGAATTACTTGGAGATGCCCTCCAGGTCAGTCGGGCTCACATCTAGGCGCTACCGCTGAGTTCGCTTCGGTTCGGTTCCGTGCCTTTACCAGAGCTCGTGCAATTCGCTTCGGGCCGTACCGTGCTCCGCGGAAATGCGGGAGTAATGAAACAAAACCAGTATCCCCCCCCACCTTTCTTTGCTGGCTCTGGCAGCTGCGAGTATTTCCAGCCGGGGCACGAATGCATCACACTAGTAGGCAATTGGTAGTGCTTGCTCATTGGCACTTCACTACCCCGCCGCGCCGTACGAGTGCAACTTATTCGCGCAATCTTGGCCTTAGACTTCACCAGGACCTCGAGCAACGACCTGTGAATCTAGATTTTTCATCGCAACGGCACCTCGCTTCACCATGCTTTGAGACACCCCTAAAGAAGCAGCTCCAGGGTAGATTCAACGTGCTCCTGTATATTTATACGAATAAGTCAGGTCTCCAACTCTGTACACTGTCTTCCCCGTGGTAGCACATTTCCCGCAACGCCTCGCAAATCTCCGACCCACCAGCATAACCCGAATCTTCAGGCGTTGCGACCTTGCTAAAATCATCCGCATAGTATTGCCCGCGTAGTCGTCCCCTGGTACCATCCGCACAGCTTATCCCGCGGAGGCTCATCCGCGTAGCATCACCGCGAATGGCGCTGCTAGAGGGCGTGATCGCATTCGACAGGTCCGTCGCGTCGCTCCCGTGGACCAGCCGCGAAGCAGTCACCGATCTTTTCCGCGCGCAGCTGAATGGACCATCCGCGGATGCTCAGCTGAGCGGACAACCCGCGGATGGCGTCGTGTCGTCCGGCGCAACCAAGATGACACAAAGCCTGGAGCGTAGCGGGAGTGAACGCGACAAGAACAACGGCGGTACTATTGACAGCCCGAAAGATATGAACGGAGATCAAGTCAAGGACGGCATCGGAAAAGTCGGAAGCAATGGTGGCATGGCGGGCGATAATGAAGCGGTGGTGGAGTATTGGAGCGCGCAGATGGCGGGGCTGCTGGAGGATCTGCGCTCCGTGCGGATTGGCGGCGCTGCGGAGAAAACGGGCGGCGTTAAAGACAAATCTGCGGGCCATGGGCCCAAGGACATGCGATGGAAGGTGATTGGCTGCTCGCACGGGGCGGTGGTAGGAGGATATGGGAAAGGAAGAGGAGGAATGAGGGGGATGGCAGCCTTCCCTTTCCTTTCCGTGTGTTTTTATGCCATCCTCCTTTCTTCTTTCTTACTCACCGTCTCTCACACCCACTCCAAGCCACCGCATCCCCCATCCGCTCGCCCCAGCAATGCGAGCAAGCAGCAGAGCACCGCACGCTGCACTGGCGGGCCCAATGGCACAGCCTTTTCCCTTGTTCCGATCCCTGCTTCCAATCCCTGCTCGCACACTTCCACCCCACCACCCTCCAGCCGTGCGAGCAAGCAGCAGAGTACCGCACGCTGCACCGCCTGGAGCCCAACGGCACGGCGATCCACTGTTTGACCCGTGCTTCCGATCCCTGGTTTTATTCTCCTCACCTCCCCCCACCACCCTCCAGCCGTGCGAGCAAGCAACAGAGCACCGCACGCTGCACTGGCGGGCCCAATGGCACAGCCTTCCTCTTGTTCCGATCTCTGCTTCCACCTCTGTTGCGCATCTTGTCTCCTCCTGTTTCTCCTGCCTCGTCCCTCGCCCTCCCTGTTCCAGCCGTGCGAGCAAGCAGCAGAGTACCGCACGCTGCACCGCCCGGGGCCCAACGGCACGGCGGTCCACACGACGTGCATTGAGGGCGTCGTGCATGCCCCGGCCGATGCCGCTCTTGCCATGTCCTGCGACGCTCCTTTCTTCAAGGAGTGGTGAGTGCTGTGACGTGACACGAGCAGTGATTGCAATTTGTAGGGATTTGAACGGCTCCCATTCAACGGCACGGCGATCCACACGACGTGCATCGAGGGCCTCGTGCACGCTCCGGCTGATGCCGCTCTTGCCATGTCTCCTTTCTTCAAGGAATGGTGAGTGGAACGATGGTGATTGCAGCGTGCTGGCTTTTGAGTCGACTCGAAAGTCATGCTCCGGCCGATGCCGCTCTCGTGCCATGTCATGCGACGCTCGCTTCTTTTCAAGGAGTGGCCAGTGCTTGCATTTAACGAGTGTTTTGATCAGTAGGGGCTGACATGAGTGCTGGTTGAAATTTGACATGGGTCATGCTTGAAAAGGATCATGCTTTAAAAGGATCATACTCGTGGACACATCCACAAGATCTTTTAAAAGGAGCATGCTCGTTGACACATCCACAAGATATTTTAAAAGGATCACGTGGACACATCCACTAGATCCGCCCTCTTCACTCCCCATCCCCCGCCTTTCGTCCCCACCTTTCCCACCCTTCCCGCCTCTCCCGCCCCTTCCGCCCTTGCTCAAGTGGCCAAGCATTATCATTTACATGAAAGACAGTGAGAGGAGTAAGGAAGGGGGGAAGATTGGCATTGAAGCAGCAAAAAACGTAGTGTCACTCCCACCCTGCATCCCCCTTCCCTCAGGTGGCTCAACATCAGCATGCCGCCGCACCGCTGTGAGGAATCCAAATGTTCCGAACAAGAGGGGGAGGTGTGCGCCGAGGCGCCACAAATTTACGGGGCCTTTCATCCTGAAACCCTCTTCCCTCAGGTGGCCCAACGTCAGCATGCCGTCGCACCGCTGTGAGGAGTCGAGGTACATCAAGCGCGTGGGCGAGAACTTCCACCTCTCCTTCATGCGGTGTGTGTCCCATGCCATGCTGTACCATGCTGTATCTTGCTGTACCGTGCTGTACCATGTTGTACTGTGCCGGACCATGTTGTACTGTTCTGTGTCATGCTGTGCCATCCGCCTGGGGGAAAACTTCCACCTCTCCTTCATACGGTGCATGCTGTACACCGTTGGTAGTGGGTGCACATTGGTAGATGCACCTACCAATGTACCCCGCATGCTGACAGCACATTGGTAGATGCACCTGCCAATGTACCCCGCATGCTGACAGCACATTGGTAGATGCACCTGCCAATGTACCCCGCATGCTGACAGCACATTGGTAGATGCACCCACTGCCAACGGGTACACCGAGGCATTTTGCTCATCTCCCTTCTCCTGCCTCCCGTACTCCCCCAACCTGCCTCCCCCTTCGCACCACCTTCCTCCTCCTCCCCTTCCTCTCTCGCCTCTGTCTCCCTCCTCTGCCCTCCCAGTCGCCCGTCCCGCTGTTCTCTCCTTAACGTTTGACCCTCGTCTATTGCTTGATCTGGCTCTCCTTGGCCACTTTCTCTTTCCAACCTATCCTATTCCCTTCCAACCCCCTTCCACCCCTTTCCACTCCTTGCATTTCCACCTCCACCCCTTCACACCGCTGCAGGTTCAAGGTGCCATGGCCGCTACCCCCGCAGGAGTTTGCGCTCATCTTTGTGACAGTCTACGATGCCGCCTCCGGCATGACTGTAACTGTGCTGCGCACGGTGAGTATTGAGGTGCCTCAAAAGTCGTCTCTTGGTTTGAGGCGCCTTAGAAGTGATCGCTTGTTGTGGGGCGCCTCAGGAGTTTGCGCTCATCTTTGTGACAGTCTACGATGCCGCCTCCGGCATGACTGTAACCGTGCTGCGAATGGTGAGCCTTCCACACACATCCACCACACCCTCACACACCCACCCACACCCCCCTTGCCCTCCCTTCGGCTGCCAGAGGACCCTTCAGGCACTTCTTTAGGCAGTCATTTTACATAACGACCCCCAACCCTCCCTGCAGCTGCCTTAGAACCCCGCATCTGCTGAGTTCACCAACTGTGGGTACAGTCGCGAGGACCCTTCCCATGGCGTGCTAAGCAGTTTCTCGCAGTGTAACCTCTCAAAAGCTCTCCACTCCTTTCGTCCTCCCTACAGCTGCCTGAGAACCCCGCCACTGCCGACTTCACCAACCACGGGTACAACCGGGAGGATGCCCCCCCGCCCCTGCCTGGACACATGCGCATGGGCATCAGTGGGGGGTACGCTGTGAAAGACATGGGCGAGAGAAGAGCGCACATGAGGTGTGTTTGGTGGGGGGGGGGGAGGACAAGGGGGAGGATCAGAGGTAGGGTGGGAGTTAAGATGTATCGTGATAACATGAGGGAGGGCAGGGAGGCCGCCCCACCGCCCCTGCCTGGGCACGTGCGGATGGGCATGAGGGGGGGTTAGCGCTGTGAAGGATATGGGCAAGGAGGGACGAGCACATATGAGGTGCGTTTGCTGTTGACCTGGGGGGGTCGGTTTGTAAGGGGTACATTGTGACGTGAGGATGGGGGGGGGGGGGGGGGGATGGGAGAGCGGCGAGCATGCAATCATGTGAACGTTGTGTGCGTGGTTTTTTAACACCTGCAGCGTTTGCATGATTGCATCGCCTGCATCATTCTCTTCACATGATTGCATCACCATCATCACCATCATCACCATCATCCATGTCTTTTCATATCTACCCTTCTGCAGCGCTGTTGCCTCTTCAAGCCATAATGGATGCCCTCAATGCTATGCCTGATATCACCCCTGTGGCCGTATCAACCCTCTGTACCGCTTAACACCCCTCTGTATCTCATCCCTCAGGTGCATATTCACGCTAGACCTCAGATTCCCTCCTGCGCTCGTCAACTTCATTATCCAGCAGTGTGGTGGAATCTTGTACCAGTGGTTTACAGAGGTGTGTAGATGGGGTTTACTGGTGTGCGAAGTGGTTTACAGAGATGTGTGGAGTGGTTTACAGAGGTGTGTAGATTGGGTTTACAGAGGTGTGTAGATTGGGTTTACAGAGGTGTGTAGATTGGGTTTACAGAGGTGTGTAGATTGGGTTTACTGGTGTGCAAAGTGGTTTACGAAGGTGTGTGAAGTGATTCACAGAGATGTGTGGAGTAGTTTGCAGAAGTGTAGAGTGCTTCACAGAGGTGTTTAACATGGTTTGAAAAGGTGGGTAGAGTGGTCTGCAGAGTGTGTAGAGTCATTTGCATAGTGTAGAATGGTTCAAAGATGTGTTAAGTGGTTTTAAGGGGTGTGTGGAGTGGTTGGCAGAGGTCTGTAGATTGGTTCACAGAGGTTAGCATCATCTGTCTCCGTCTGTGTGAGTGTGTTGTGATGGTTTTTGAGGCGCCTCAAAAAGAGTGTGTTGTGATGGTTTGCTGAAGCGAAATATGGTTTGCTGAAGCGAAATATGGTTTGCTGAAGCGAAATATGGTTTGCTGAAGCGAAATATGGTTGGCTGAAGCGAAATATGGTTTGCTGAAGCGAAATATGGTTTGCTGAAGCGAAATCTGGTTTGCTGAAGCGAAATATGGTCCATATTCCTTTCCCCCCTCCCTCCCCTGTGTCTCTATTCCCCTTTCCCCCTCTCCCCCTCTCCCCCTCTCCCCCTCTCCCCCTCTCCCCCTCTCCCCCTCTCCCCCTCTCCCCCTCCCCCCCTCCCCCCCTCCCCCCCTCCCCCCCTCCCCCCCTCCCCCCCTCCCCCCCTCCCCCCCTCCCCCCCTCCCCCCCTCCCCCCCTCCCCCCCTCCCCCCCTCCCCCCCTCCCCCCCTCCCCCCCTCTCCCCCTCTCCCCCTCTCCCCCTCTCCCCCTCTCCCCCTCTCCCCCTCTCCCCCTCTCCCCCTCTCCCCCTCTCCCCCTCTCCCCCTCTCCCCCTCTCCCCCTCTCCCCCTCTCCCCCTCTCCCCCTCTCCCCCTCTCCCCCTCTCCCCCTCTCCCCCTCTCCCCCTCTCCCCCTCTCCCCCTCTCCCCCTCTCCCCCTCTCCCCCTCTCCCCCTCTTCCCCTCTTCCCCTCTTCCCCTCTTCCCCTCTTCCCCTCCCCCTCTCCCCCTCTTCCCCCTCTCCCCCTCTCTCCCACTCCCCCGCTCACCCTCTCTCGTCAGGAGCTGGCCAGGATATACGACGACCCCTCGAGCACCAAAGGAAAGGCGTTTCGCCAGGCTCTCCACGACGAGCCGCTCTACAATCACGTCCGGGGAGCCATGGAGAAATATCGTGCTGCCCGGGCAGCTGAACAGCAGCAACTGGAGGCCGAGCAGCAGCGGAAGCACCAGGAACTGGTGGGCGATCAGCAAAACGGGCAGGCAGCTGGGGAAAGAATCCATCTAGTCAGCAAAGAAGAGGAGGAGAAGTCGTTTAGAGAGCTAGGAGCAGAAGTAGAGGCGAGAATCGAGTCCCTTGTGTCTAGAAGAGCGAGCAGCAATGGCAGCATTGATGTGGATGGGGTAGAGATTGTGGAAGCTGGGGAATGGGGGGATGTGGAGGCAAGACCAGGGGGAAAGGGCATGGGGGTTGGGGAGGTGAAGGCAAGTGGAAGCATGAAGGGATTGCAGATGGATGGAGGAAGTCGAAAGGGTGGACTTGAGACCGGGGTAGGAGCAGCAGGAGGAGCAGATGGAGGGGCAGAAGGAGGAGCATTGGAGAGTGTGGGGACGGAGGCAGGGGGGGCTATAAGCAGAGCTGCAGTGACTGCGGAGCTGCACAAAGGGCCGGTTCGTGATTCGCCGCAACAAAATGGCGCTGTACAGAAGGTTACTGAAGAGAGAGGTGCTGCAATGCTCTGTACAGGAGATGGGAGGTATACACAGAATGGGCGGTATGGGCTGAGAGCATCAGAGAGCCCGGGTACCGGTGGTAATGGGTATACAGCGAGTCCCAGCGACCACCGCCTCTTCCGAGCCGTTGATACTTTGGATCGAGCCATCGCAGCCCTCCGTTTGCTGCATTCTGCATCCCCCACAGCAGCACCAGCAGAGGCAGCAGCAGCAGTCGGTGCTGCTGGCGCAGCTAGCATGTATAGCCCAACAAGCAGAGGAAGAGGATCTATGGCAACAGCAGCAACAGTAGCAGCCACGGCCACAGCAACAGCCACAGCAGCAGCAGCGGCAGGAGAGAGCAGGGGCATCTCAGCAGCAGAATCAGCTGCACGCGGTGGCGGTGCTGCGGGGCAGCAGGCAGGCAGTGGTGAAGCAGGCGGAAAGGGCGGGTCAGATTGGGTACTGATCTCCCCCACCACCCCTAATGGACAGGCTGGCCATGGCCTCCAGAAGCACCAAAAACTGCCGCTGCAGGAGCCACACAAGAGTGGATGGGGAAGGTTGCGAAAGGCTTTGGCAGCGCTACGGAAGAAAGGCTGACTGCCAGTGTGATATCCGGTGGTCACCCGTCTCTTACCGGTATATATCATGGCACAATGCTCAAACACTATGTGCCGCACTTCCCTGCACTTAGGACACTGAAGACTCTTCTGGGGTACTGAAAATATGGGTAGGGAGGGAGGGATCTTGGCGTGCGTTTTACTGGTATTTACTAGTACCGTATGGTACGGAGCATGTCAGTTGAATGTCCTACGTATGTTAGAGCTATCTAAGAATGTTGTAATGCCCGAATCCACCTGAAGCAAGTACCCTTAGCCGGAGTTCTGGACATACGGTAGGCTGTTGCAAATTAAGCAAGGGTTGTATCAATAGAGGGGATGACATGACATGCGATTGGGAAAGCATGGCATGGGGATGAGATGGGAATGCACAAGGATGAGATGGATAGGAATGCAAGGGAAGGGGATGGGTTGAGTTATCATGGGCCAGGACAGAAGAGAGCATGGGATGAGGAGGACAAGAGGGAGCATGTAAATGAGGACAGTGGGGAGGGGGGAGTATCGGAATGAGGACAGTGGAGGCTGGAGCATAGAAAATGAGGACAGTGCGAAGGATGGAGATGTGAGGAGGACAGATCGACAAATGTACAGTACGGTACCACTTTCATACCTTTTGACCTGAAAAAGCTGTGAAGTTTGTCGAAAGGGAATTGATCAGACTGGGGCCCCGGGTTAGCAGAAACAGTGCCAACTTGGGGCCTCGTGAGTCGCGACCCTACGAAATAGGCCCGAAGCAAATCACAAGCCAGGGCAGCTAGTCCGAACCTGGCAAACACGCCAGGTCGCCACCTACTGCCTTGGGTTTGACGGAAATCGCTAGCACCCCACATCGCTGGAAGCACAACAATCCGTCAACCCAACACAGTCTGATCGAGATACAACACAAGCAGCATGTAACAAACAACTCGGAATTATTACGGAAACATAAGACTGCCAGAACACAAAAGAGCTGAAACATGAAAATTAATAAAATGAGTGAGGAGGCAACACTTGGGATGTTTATGAACTTTTTCTGTTTGAGAATTTTCAACCAACCTTCCCACATTCTTTCAGGATATCTATCCATACATAGACGATTTACATGCAAATGCTTCCCTTGAAAATCTTCGATGGAAAATCTTCTATCATCCTTGCTCTTTTTCATTATGATAACAATCGCTTTACGTGAGTGGTACTCATACGACTCTTATGAATGATCTCTTCTACAACCCTCTTGCTCCCCCTCTCCCCTCTCCCCCCTCTGTCTCTCCCTCTCTCTCCCTTTCTCTCCCTCTCTCTCTCTCTTTCTCTTTTTCTCTTTCTCTTTTTCTCTTTCTCTCTCTCTCTCTCTCTCTCTCTCTCTCTCTCTCTCTCTCTCTCTCTCTCTCTCTCTCTCTCTCTCTCTCTCTCTCTCTCTCTTATGGTCCGTGTATTAATAGAGCAATAAAGGTACATGCATGCATGTGATAAGTCTAGCTAAGGTTTCAGCAAACAAACAAGACAAAGGCAAACAAACGAACAAACAAACCAACCCCAAACCACACCCTAACCGAACTCTGTGAGGGGCTCAAGCACGGCGAAGCAGTCCCCGAGGGACAACTCTCGCTCTCTCTCTCTCTCCCTCCCTCCCTCTCTCTCTCTCTCTCTCTCTCTCTCTCTCTCTCTCTCTCTCTCTCTCTCTCTCTCTCTCTCTCTCTCTCTCTCTCTCTATCTCTCTCTCTTGTCATAATCGTAGGCTAAAGTGATGTCGACTATCAAGGGGGTTGGTACAAAGAAAATGAACCTAAGGGGTTGTACCCCACAGTGTGTACCCCACTAAGCCTACCCAAACTATAACATAGAATATACATATGTTTGACACACCCCCATAGGCAGAGTGGGGGAGAACAGAGGGTCACAAGACCAGTCAGGAAGTGCAAAGCAAGCTCAGGGTGGATCACAACGTCACCACGCAGTCCGAGCACAAGCAAGAAGGCCACAAGGCCAGTTCACATGCAGAGATATATATGTAACAACAACAGTACAGTGAAATCTACCTACAAGAACAAGCATGCAGGAATACATATAAATCATGGTACAAACAAAGCCTACAGCAAGTGAGGAAGCGTGGGCACAAGGCCTAACAAAGTGCAGAAACGTTGATGATCACCAGGCGGAAGTGCCTTGGTGAGTATATCAGCAGTGTTGGCCCGAGTGGCCACGTAGGTAAGACGAAGCTGGCCACGCCGCTGCAGCTCTCGAGCAAGAAAGTAACGGAGAGCGATGTGCTTCGTTCTGTGCTCCAGTCTGTGCTCCTGACACAAGGCAATGGCGGCCTTGTTGTCGACGTACAGCACTGGAGGAGAACGAGGCCGCTCTCCCAAGTCAGTCAGCAGGTAGGTGAGCCAGCGAAGCTCCTGTGCAGCCATCGCTGTGGCGTAGATCTCAGCCTCGCAACTGGAGCCGAGAACTGAAGACGAGCGTGTCGAACGCCAAGAAACTGAACCAGAGCCAAGGCTGAAGGTGTAACCCTGTGACGACCGCTGCGTAGCCTGGTCGTCAACCCAAGAGGCGTCCGAGTGACCAGTGAGGACAAGGTCACCCCGTCCTCCAAGCACGAGCCCCATGCCCGATGCACTGCACAAGTAGCGTAGTACCCTCTTGGCAGCATCCATGTGCACCTTTCGGTGCCGACCAAGAGCCACGTAGCGAGCCAGAAGGCCAAGAGGGTATGCAAGGTCAGGACGAGTGCATGTCATCAGGTACATGAGGCAGCCTACTAACTCTGGGTAAGGACCACTCGGCTCTACGGACTCGTCGGAAGGTGGAGCTGAGAGCGAGTGACCTGTAGCCAGAGGAGTGGCCTGTGCTGAGGACCAGGTGAAACCGAAGCGCTGAAGGACCTGCTGCACCATGTGTGACTGAGTCAGTGTGATGGTGCGGCGTGCTCTGTCCCGGGTGATCTGCAAGCCAAGGTAGCTGCGCAGTTCACCCAGGTCTGTGCACGTGTGTCTCTTCTGCAGCTCTGACTTCACCAGGGCGAGAGCCTCAGTGTCAGCAGTGGCAAAGACCAAGTCGTCGACATACACGAGAACGTAGAACGGCGGCAGCGAAGTGTCAGTGCGCAAAAACAGCGACGGGTCAGCAGTCGACGGAGCAAACCCAAGAGCCGCAAGTGTCGTCCTCAGTGTGTCGTGCCACTCACGTGGCGCCTGGCGGAGACCGTAGACCGGCCGCCGGAGGCTCCACTGGGTACCAGGAGGGAACGACCCAGTGAAGCCAGGAGGGCGGCGCAGCCAAATCTCCTCGTGCAGGCTGCCCTGTAAGAAGGCTGTGCTGAAGTCAAGAGAGTGAAGCTCGTAGTCACGCTGAGCGGCAACGTGCAGCAGCACCCGAAGAGTGGTCATCTTCGGGGTGGGGGAGAAGGTATGGAAGAAGTCAACTCCCTCTCGCTGACTGAAGCCTCGAGCCACGTAACGAGCCTTGAAGACAGGCGGAGAACCTGGCGGCCGCTTCACCCTGAAAATCCACATGCCACTGACGATGTTCGCCCCAGGAGGGGGAACATCGTCGACGTAGGTGCCTGTGGACTTCCAGGATGCCATCTCTGCGTCCATGGCTGTCTGCCACTGAGAGGAGTACTCACCCGCGATCGCCTCAGCGTAAGAGCGTGGGGTAGGGATGTCTGGTGCATCCGGGTCTCCCTCAGGGGCAAGCAGCATGGATACGAGATGAGGCGCAGCGGCTGCAAGACACTCAAGGTCCTCCTGCCTGTCCTCAAGGACGTCCGTGCCAAGAGCACACTCACCCCCGACGGACGGAGGACAGACAGACGCAGACTCAGCAACAAGACCGGCGGCGTAGTCTAGACGACAGTGAGCAGCAAAGGCAACAAGCTCAGTGACTAAGGTAGACGCAGCAGCAGACTCAAACGAAGGGTCAGTGACCACAGTGGCAAGCAGACGCGTGATAGTAGAGTGCTCAGCACGAAACCGGTCGGACGCAGGGTCAGCAACGATAGGCAGAGAGGACGCAGGGGGAGGCGGCAGAGGAACACGCGGTGAAGGAGAGGAAGGACGACGAACTACAAGGGGAGGGCCGGAGACAGCCGGCTGGCACTGACGAGGAACACGACGACCGGAACTGACAGGGGAGACAGGACGCGACACATGCTCACGACGCTCTGCAAGGCCACCAGGCTGCTCTGTGTACGGAGAAGGAGCAGGCAGCGGTGAGCCAGGCTGTAACGGAAGACCAGTAGACGAGGGAAGACTGAGAACCTGGCGAAGTGCAGAGTCAGGTGGTGGCTGAGACGACGCAGACGGCGGAGCAAAGACCAGGCGCGGCTGAGCAGTGCCACCAGCAGCTCCAGCACCTCCAGCAGCTCCAGTACCCCGAGCAGCTCTAGCAGCTCCAGCACCTCCAGCACCTCCAGCAGCTCCAGTACCCTCAGCAGCTCCAGCACCGCCAGTAGCTCCAGTACCTCCAGCAGCACCACCACCAGCCCCAGCAGCTCCAGTACTCCCAGTACGAGCACCTCCGGGACCAGCGACAACAGCAGAAGAACCTCCAGCAGGAGAGCCCTGAGGTGCAGAGGTGGGACGCCGACGGCGACCGTACCAGTCGTGCAGCTGCTGGGAGGTGAGGGGCATACGCGGACGAAGACGGCTACTCCAAGGAGACCGTGTAACAGCAGTCTCAGAACCCTCAGGCAACTCACCCCCAGACTCAGCACTCCCAGGCTCCGCACACACAGGCTCAGCACCCCAAGACGCAGCACCGCCAGACGCAGTACCCCGAGACGTAGCACCTCCAGGCTCCACACGCTCAGCGCCCCCAGACTCAGCACCCCCAAGCTCCGTACCCCCCGGGACAGCACCACTCGTAGCAGGACCGGAGTCACCAGTGACCTCAACAGGCGCAGGCGCAGGGGGGTCTACCTGAGAGACACCTGAAGGAGCAGGACCTGGCGCGGGGAGGGGGTCTACCCGGGGAGGACCTGGGGCGAGAAAGAGCGGCGGG